GCGCCTCTCGCCGTTTAGGAATGCCCCTGGATTTTGCATTACACCTCCGTTCTGGTTTATTTTTGAGTTAATTAAAATAAATAAATTATCCCAAATGATAAGTGTCACACGTGTGGCATGAAGCACTCCGCCCCTGACATTTTCTACAACTAAAATTGGCATCAAAAAAAAGTTGCCATACTTCTTCATTCGCCTTTGCTTTTCTCAAAGTCTTTCGGTTTTTTAGTCAGGTCGTTGAACTTTATAGTACCGCATGTGGTACTAATGAACGTGCACAGTTAGATGAAATGAATTGTTGTTGTTTAATACACCCGTCCAGTGTTGGTTGGCACAGCCTGTTTGGCGACAATAGATTAGGCCCAAGCCAGAGAGTATTGTTTCTCAAGCAACATGCATAGGGTTAAATATCCTGTGCTGCCAACAACTACATGCTTCCATGCTCCAATTTTTTAAATAATAATTATAAGTGTTTCAAAAAATTCTGAAAAAAGTTGTGAATGTTCACAAGACATAAGTCTACATCCTCTGAAAATTTCATATCCAAACACGAAATATACACTGAGAAATAAAAAAGAAAAACTAAACATGAATAGTGTCACAAGAAGACAAAAGCTAAAGTGGCACTATTCACATGAAGGTTTCTCTTTTTCGTTTTCTCATTGTATATTTCGATTTTGGATTTGAATTTTTTAGATAATCTTGTGAACAACCACCAATTTTTTTTGGAATTTTGTGAGATATTTAAAATTATCATTTTAGACATTGGAGCATGGAAGCATGAAAGTGTTAAGAGCACTGGATATGTCCTCCCCCAAGAGAAAAAGCTCTATACGCAGCCATTGAATGCTGACATGAGAAGCGACTTTTTGACGTGTCATTGACTGATGCGTGTAACTGTGGATGGGGTAAATGGCTAATGGGTGAAAATGTGTTGTATGGGAAGAAAGTATATAGTGCGGTAGAAAGAGAAAAATTACCGCGCATTATGAGAATCAAGCTGTAGTATAACTTGTGTTTATTGAATGCTAGTGCATAATTCCTTATTGGATTAGTGGACGGATGAGCACAAATACAAACTAAGATTAACCATAAAGAGCATGCTCTTGGAATTACATAGTACTAATAATCATGAGCCTAACACGATCCTGGGGACGACCAGGTGATTTGAAATAAAAAAATACATAGTAGTACTGGTAATCCTGAGGCAAAACTCAGATTAGTTACTTAGGAATAAAAATTACATAGTACTGAAAATCTTTCCGGCACCGTCGGCGGCAGCATCATCAGCTTCAGACTTTCAGGCGACCTTTGAGCAAAAGAACAGTACAACAAGCAGGAGCGTCTCTGCATTGAAAATAGTACGGGTGGTTGGGCGATGGTACAAAATCCTTTTGAGAATAACGCCATGATTATATACAAGACGACGGAGATATGGGCAATAACTGAAGGCAATACGGAGAGGCTAATATAGTGTGATGAGAACATGACTACCTTGGATAAAAACAAAAATATTGCATACATGTATATTTGTCAGGTGATTTCTAGTGCAAACTATTCAATAATCTATTTATGTTATCCAGAACAAAAATACTTCACATACTTTTGTGTTTTGTCTAATTGCAGGTGTATGGGACATTTGTACAATCCACATATGAAGATAAGGGAAAAGGAGAAGTTTAGGTGCTGTTCAAAAAGTCCTCTCACGTCACTTTTGGGTCAAGAGAAGATAGAGTCCAAGTCTCTCACGTTCTGGATTCAGATTCGGACTGCACAGACATACCTGACTCAAAACGCCAACAATTTTTTCATACGGACTCCGAATTGGGTGATTCTTTTTTTGTTGGAAGTAGATTTCATGCTCTTTCCAACCCAATTGGAATCACCTTAAAATCCGTCCGGAGCGTTGAGTTATGGACGAAACAATCTGACGCTGCACCAGAATCCGAGTCAAACTACAAGTCAAAAGGTGTTACGTCACCTCCACTTGGGCCCATTGGTCTTGTACGACCTAGGGTTAGTTTTAGGCTGCCTTGGGACGTCCTCCCACCTCCTTGGCCGCCACCCCTTGCTCCTATATAAGTAGATCCATCTAGTAGCTTTTCCCTTGGGATTTGTTTAGTTAAAAGTTAGCCATTGCAACTTTGTATACTTCGTTTGTGTCCAACGACCAGACCAAGACTGCTTACGGATCCCCACCTTTATCAATACTTCATATATACTCGCAATATTCAGATTGCTTTTATCATATTCTTGCTTGTTCTTCGATTGCTTGCAGGAATAGACCTTCGTGGTCGGGTTGATTGTGCTCCGGCGTGGTCAATGACCTCTCGGAGTTGGTTTAGCGATTGCTAAGGCGCAACGTCGTGCACGTTTGTAGTCGGATCGTCAAAGTCATCTTCACCAAATCGATAGTTATCATCTCATCGAAAGATCGGGACACCTCCGCCTCTATCATAGTGTCTGCTGATCCCGAGGCAAGTGGGTGGGTATGATTTTAGTAGGCATCGTCGTCAAGTGCTCCTACGCAATTTCGTCTGAGAACATTGCTTTTCTGAAGAAAAGCACAACAACACACTCTGAAACACTTTGGATTCACGCTCTGAAATGTCTCGTTTTTCTCTTGCTTTGATCTGATTCGTCAATTCTGACATGCACGAGAAAAACCTTCAAAAATGAATCTAAGTCGCCCTGAATTATTTCGCTTCTCTTGCTACCATATTGTTCTTCAACAATCTATCTTGTAGGAGAGAATAATTTAGAAGCAATGCTGAAAACTATGATCTAAGAAATACTTCACGCCTTATTTTCGCGACAAATCATTTCAAAGTCTTTGTACTCTAAAAACAAATCTTTTTCAAAGACTCTGTTTCGCAGGAAATATCTCAGATTTCACTGAGTGCTTTGATCGATCCTCTTGATTCGAATCGTATCTCAATGCCACTCTTTCAAAGATTTATTTCGCCCCGTTGTCTTCTAACAATGCAGGACTTCAGTTTATCAAAACCTTCACTAAGATGCATACATTCAGGGGGAGCATACTTTATCTTCAGATAATCTTCTATTACTTACTTGTTCGCACAATCATTGGCC